TGACAATAACTGTCGACTTACCGAGAATCAAGAGAAGCAAATCGGATATCGCCAAATTGAATAGATAGTAATTAGTGGCGGTTTGCATGACGGGATTTCGCCTGATGACAATGCAAGTGATCACGTTGCCGAATACGCCGGTGACAAAGATCGCGACGTAGACGAAAGTGATCGGCAACACGAGCTTCAGTGATAAATGCTTCGGTCCCCAGATTGATCTTACATATTCGGACTCGGTTAGGTTCATCAGTTCCGTAATGTTGTCGATCCTTAGAAGATATCGGCCCGAAAATTCCATACTTTGCGCGTTTCATTAGCCCGGTCGATCGCTTTTCCCCATTAGTAGTATCACTGATCAGATTGTTCGTTCACTGTACGCCGATTCAATCTCGGATGAGGAGGATTCTATCTCGTTTCTTCTTCTTTTGACAATCATGATTCTGCACTATATTAAATTCTCATCGAACAACGCACAGAAACTTAACGATTGTTCTCTCGGTTTTCAACACATTATATCGAACATCGCGAATTGCTATTAATCGACTCATTGTTTCTCAAAAATAATAGTCCTTATTGATCAATTTTGATCGCTCGGTTTCGTGGATGTTTTCGAGAAAGAGCCTGGTTATTTTTTTTTTTTTCGGGGATAAATAGCCGCGATACGCGCGAGAAACATATAACGGGGTGGAAAAGTGCTCCATTCGACTGACTGCGAACAAGTGACGACCGCGGAGCGCTCCGGTCTTCGCTATCGGACCACGCGCCCATCCACCACGCATCCAACCCTTAACTTCAACCCCCTCGAGAGAGCACGCTGCGCCACCCGTCCAATAGAATCCCGCTGATCGTCGCGTGCAAAATATTCCAGATATTCGACGCATATTGTTCTAAACGACATCCCTATGAGAAATAACTCATCGAATTGATGTCGAATCGACATCGATACGATGATTTCGACGGCAATTCGGTATCGATTCGACGTCTAATTGACGTTATTTTTCTCTGAGATGGCGATGGGATTACTCTGAAGCAATTCTAGTTAAATGATATTGAATAATTGATTTTAATCGAACGGTCGATCAGATCCGAAGGATTTTATACGATGTTATTGACAATACAATTAAGAAATTCTCCTACGTAAGACAATGAGATGAGAACAAATAATAAAATTGTTGTATATTAAAAGTTTATTCACCAAAAAGAGATAAATTTAAAAATCTAATTGTAAGTGTTAACGATTCATTAAATGAGGTAATATTTTTTACAATAAAATTATTTACAGAGCTTGAGATGCTTAGTATCAGAATATCCTTCTATGACGCCAATAAATATCAATATTATTAAATTACTTATCAATTTAATTTGCAATACTACTACACTAAGAAAAATGTTTTGTTTTATGAACCAAAATTTTATTGTAATAATAAAAATTTTTTGAAATATATCGAATACAAATTTTTAGTTAAAATATACCTAATAAAACTGTAATTTTACATAAATTAAATTTTTAGTTATAAATTAAGTTTAGTTGTGTGATATAAACAAATAGTTTTGATATTTACGAAGCAGAGAAATTATTTTACAACTGAATTTATTGTTATATTCAATAAACAAAATATTTAATTGCTATTAAACAGTTCTTTAACTAAACAGTTTTGCTAAAAGCACTACATTTTTTCCTAATATATTCTAGTTCTGTTAGGATTGTTGATTGTTTCAGGATTGAAAACTTAAATTTGGCATGCAGTTTGCGGGATTAGATAGATATATAAATTTACATTGAATGATTTAAGCATTAAAAAAATCCAGCTTGACCGTTTAAGGTTTTTATTCCATTTAATTTTTGTATATTCACATTAGAATTTTAAAAAATACTTGTTTAAAAATTTTATAATTGTTTAAAAATTGTTCATTAAATGTGTCATAAATAGACCGATTTATATTAATCCTCATAAAACAAACTTTCCTGGCAATCTTATGTGAAATTGCATTGAGCTTTATTTCTATCTTCTTATCGCGCAATCTTTATTTGAGCAAAAACGATTTGAGACTGTTAAACGAGATTTAAAAAAATGAAATATCCGTCTTTTTAGGATGGAGTTTTCTTTCGTGTATTTTAGAATGAAATTTATTTCTTTAGATTTAATGTATCAATCTCTGCGCTTCCTAAAAACATTAAAAATAGTTCGATTATGTTATTTTTGCCTTAACATCTGCAATTCTCATTTTATTTATTACCAAAATTCAAACTTTTTCTTTCAGTAAGTTTTAACTTTTGGCAACTGATACATCGTAATCAATTATTTTGTTTGTCATCTAGAAAAGAGAAAATATAATCGTTGCGATAATACTTTTTTACACATAAAGTTATGAAAAAGTAAAAAGCTTTTTTATAAGATATAATGTTATATACCATATAGGTATTCTTTTAATTGGCAGCGATTGTATGATAAATGTATCCAATGAAACAGAATTGGTTCTGTTTTTCTGTGAATGTTTCTCATTTTATGCAACAAACTTCTGCTTTCGGTGTTGCTTCGCTTTATTTACAGAATTGTTTAAATCGCTCCGCTGCACGTATCATTCATTTGTCATATTATTCATTTCACAGTCTTGTTTTCTTGTTATTACCGTTATTTTAGCACGAGAAAATAACATACATCGTAAACATACTACATGTATATATTATTATTATTATTATTATTAATTTACTTTATCTATGTATGAAGATTATATATTCATAATTTTATTGAATATAGTTTAAATGTAATTTATCGAGTATTATGCACGCCTATGATCACTATATATGTTACGTGATATTTATTACCAAAATCACTTCGCAGATGACCGTTTTAATTCTCATACGAGCAACTGCGTATCTTGTGCATATTGCGGATCGTTAATGAGCGTGTAGATGTATAAATATGAAGTACAGAACTGTTTACAACACTAAGGTCCTCTTTCACCAACTCTAATTAACGCTAACATCAATAGTTAATCCAATTGCTGTTGCCAATGTGAGAACTAAACAGTTTGTTTCAGAAGAGGAAGAGAGAGAAGTTCTAATATATTGAACTGTTATAGGTACTTTTACGAATTAAGCTTTGTTTTCCATTTCTAGAATTAAAAAGAAATGTGGAGTAAGCTGAACCTCGATTAAAAAGTTAACCGTCAATTGTAAAATCGAGTTTTAATCGTCGATTAATTTAACCAACGATTGGCGAAAGAGACTAATGCCCAATTTCTCCAATGTATGTCGGTTCATCTTATTCTTTATTTTTTCTAATTCTAAGAATTAGAAAAGGATAAACGATTAGTTAAACCAAAATTAAAGTTTTAATATTATATCACTTACATTAGTAGAACTGAGCCTAAAACTATTTTCAGACTTGACTTACCTCAGATATGCCATCTTAGATGTGTTTGCAACGAGAAACTCCCATTCGTGATACATCAGACGCACGCGTTAATTATGGAAATGTGTTGAATATGTATCGTAACCCGCAATCATTTTCCGATATATGATATTTTCTGAATACATTTCATAGAAAGTTGTAGCTGTATTTGTAACATACAGAAATGTAAAAATAGTAACTAAAATTGAGAGTTATGCATTTTTTTATTAATTATAATCGGAAATTGTTAACGCTTTAGGTTGACAATTAAAAATATTACTTTTGACGCTAATTTTACGTATCGTTATTAAAATGTTGTTTACCGCGTTGAAAGAAACTGTACCTCGGTTTTTAAAATTTATTTATTTTTATTTTTTAATTTATTCTTATCTTATTATTTTTTAATTATAAGTTTATGTATAACGACAAATAATGTATACTGCACTATTCTCGATGCCGCTTTACATAAAACTCCTATTTAAAAGTCCTAAAATGAATGAAACTTTATTTTGTAAAATGATATTATTTTTTGTATCTAAATAAATATTTTGAGAAAAACATTTTATGTATTTCGCACGAGTTATTTCTCATGTACGTAATGACTAACTCTCGTAGTAGTAACTAAAAATGTCAAATAGAATTTAAAAAAACAGATATTCTAAAACTCGAAGAGAGAAGGATTCATATGTGCTTTATATAGTTTTATTATATAACGTTTGAAGCAATTGTTAGAGGAATGTAATACAATCATTTTTTCTTTTCTAAAATGATCTCTTATGTGCTGAGTAAAATACAGCGCAATTTTAACTTTATGTTTTGTAATGATACTCACATAAATGGATATTTTTCACAATAATGAATATATATATATTATTTGCGGGACTCGTAGATTATGCATTCTAAGATTAAATAAGTTTACAAAACTCGGCGAAGCTACATTGAATCTCGATCAAAATGAATTTCCGAATGACACATCGTGAATTCGCGAAACGTAGCCGGACGTGGAGAGAAGTTATGCAGAAATATTAATTTATGTGCCAATATTTACGACGGCTGAACGCGCCGCGAATATTCAACTCAATAAATTTACTCAGACAAATCTCCGTTCTCCGCTCGTGCGTATTGTATATCATTAATTACGTAAGGATACTTTGATTAACTCAAAGAATAAAACGTTTTCAAAATCAAATTATCAATGGCATCTTTATTATATAGAGATCTTTATATAGAGATGGGATTTATTTTTTAATTGTCATTCTTTGCAACCTATTTTTAAGAAATTTTATTCACACGAATTATATTCGCTTAGACGTCTATTTAGAAGGATAAAAGCAATGAAACCGAAATGGTTTAAATTTTCCACATAACAGACGCAAAAAGTGTTCCACTCCTCTCAATTATTGCTCTTTTATCGCTATTAATAAATGAGACGCTCGCCGCATGGCTCGTATTAATGAAGACTTATTTTGAGAGAAAGATTTTTATCATCTTTCAGTAATTTTATTTTCTATTTATTGGGATATATAATAAGAAAATAATCTATGTATCTTTGTGAGTTTTAATATAAAGCTGTGCTATAAATTTAAAACTGTACCACATTCTTGTTTTTGCATATTATAATATTGTTACGATGACAGCTTTTATATAAAGATTTTTGCGTGTTTATGACATTGAGATTTAAGCTGGTTGAAATTACGTTGGTTTCAACAATTGCTGTCGCGTCGAGAAGTGATCTCATTGAGGTCGACACGGGGATTTCAGTGAGTTTCAACTGCTGGCATAAAATTATCGTCCGCGCATCGATCAAAGTAGCTGGTCGCGACAGATCGTCGTGATTTTGTTTGTCGGACAATACGCTTGTAGCAGCTTTTATCCTTTGAAAAAGCCTGAGTGAAGTCTCTCGTCGGTTTAAATGGCATTCCGCACCCTCAGAGAAACCCTGTACGACACGCACGACCGATTTTTCCATTCCGTCTTTTCATCGCTCAGTGCATTCGAACGAATCTCTTCTTCAACTGTATGTCCGCAAACATTACACACTTCAAGAACTTCCATAAAACTATCGATAAACCATGAATATCATTCTCCATCCGCTACATATTACTGCAAGTTATAATTCTTTTAAGCAAAATTATAAAATCATAAAACCTAAATCGTAAAATTATGAATTTCAGACAAAATGCCTAAAATCGATAATTTTAGAGTTTATAAGTAACAAAGAAGAAACAGGAAAAATTAATATTGCGTCAATTAAGAGAGTTAATTAATATTGTTATATCTTATTCTTCAATCTTTTAACAACTTTAACTCTTAGATAATCTTAATTTTTATTGTTAAAATAGAGTAGACATATATATATATACATATATATATTGTACAAAGATTTGAAATGTTCTTTTTTCTTATAACATACACAATTTTAAAGATAAGCTTAGTAAAAATTAAATAAAAGATACTAGTTCAATAATGGTTCACCTTTAATCGAGTCATATATATAATACTAGAAGACTTTATAAATTTCGTCGCACGTGTTTGGAATCTCTGCTATAATATTTAAATACTTTATGCCAAGAAGTCGTTTCTATTGATTAATAATAATAATCCCTTGAACGTTGATGTCCTAATTTTTTTGACATCAGCCAAAAAATGTTAAACTTTATTTAGGAGCTTTTAGTCTGAAAGCATACGAAGATCGACGTTGACGGTGTACCTATTCATATTGCGATCGTTACGTAAAATACCGAAGTAAAGAGATAACTAGCGATGCTAACGTTAGTTTTCCATTACTACTGCCGAACTATTTGTCAACTATGAAATGAATCACGTTCTTCCGGTGATGTCTTCCGACGCCTTCCAAGAGACAGCACATTTCTCTGTCGCACATTCCGCGTGTCTGCAATGCCATCGCTTCCTCCGGTAAATACACTTGATGGTAATGGCAAATATTATACGTACATCTCTCGGGAGGCAATTTTGTTGCTTGTTTGGCATATGAGTCCAGCAGCAGAAATATCGTGCCGAGTAAGTAAAAATAAAACGCAAACTGCAAAAGATCAATAACATTTTATTGCTATATTGCATTTTATTGCTATATCATACTTTGACTGGTGAAACAAATAAATCAGATCGTCGATTTTCAGACAAGATAGAAGGGTAAAAAGAGGTAACAGACACGCAGCATGTGAATATGATATCGTAAAAATATAACGGAAATATTGAACTCTATAAAAACTGCTAAACCAGTGAAAAATAGTGTTTTAATACATAGTTCGCTTTACACTATTTGTATTTAGCAACTTCGCTTTCTTTCTTTTCAATGCTTGATATATTTGTTTTGCTTTAAATGCAAATATTTTTGAAGATTTTAAGTAATGTGTAAATCTACAGATATCGCTTCCAAAACGACCGAAATAATATTTTTAATTGTCATAAATGTTTTATGAGATTTCTCATATTTAATAGTGATTGCACATGTTAATTATACACCAGTTCGGTTTAAAATTGTTTTTAAATTTTGAAGATCAAAGATTAAAAATAATTTTGGCGCTCAGTTATATGAATATGGATATGTATATAAATCACACCAAAATATTATTTAAGATCCATCTCAATCAAGGCTTTTTCATTACTTATTATATATTCATATTACGATCTCGTAATACGTCGTTCGTAAATGTTTAATGTCAAAAAGGTATAATTTTTATTTATTATTAATAATTGCTTTTCACGCAGGTTAATATTAAGTTTAAAAGAAATGAGTATAATTTAATGTACAAATATTATCCTGCTATGAAAATTAAATCGTCATATAAAAAGAAAGGCAGAAATGTGCAAACTTTTTAAAAAGTCATTTACGAAGAATCGTCTAAGAGAGAGAGCGGATTTATGCTGCGCATTTATTCAATTTTTTATTTATGTGAATAACGCACTTGCAGTGCAGCATTTTCTTGTGCAGTGATAAACTCTAAGAACTATCGCGTACAAAATAACGTAGCTTTATATGGATAGCATAAGACCGTCTGGACCAATAAGTATATGTTACGTAAATCAATATAGCAACTTTATGCTGGATGCTCATTGGTCCACACGATCTTATGCATATGCAGCTATACTATTTTATGTGCGATAGCTCTTACGATCAATAAAATTTAATGTAATATGCAATAGAATATCATATACATGATGTGCTTTTAATAATAGATTCTTGAAATTATTTTGAGATAAAAATCCTAATATCAAAATATTAAGACTATAGTAATTTTTAAATGAGAATGATTTAAAGTTAATTACTAAAACTAAATTTGCTCGCTTAAGCATGGCACATTACACAGAAATAAAGGTGTTTAATAGAATAGAACAGCGCTGGAATTTACTTACAATTTTCAGCTAGATTTCGTGATTCACGCCCACTATCTCCCTCTTTTATTGCTTGAGCAATGAGTCGTAACTAATTTTGTAAGAAGCGCGGTAAACAATCTCAAGAACGTATATATTGCAAATGTAATGATACTGACTATTCCTTCAATTTGAATAGGTTCAAAAAATTTCATTAAAATTTTTTCTTTGATATTTCGCAATTATAATTACATTGTACTTATGGTTTACTATGGGCGCGGGTTTCCATTTAACGTTTGCAACGCTCGCGAGCATCATTTCATCCTTATCATTTTCAAATATTAAACAAGGATAAAATGGTGCTCGCGAGCGTTGCGAACGTTAAGTGGAACCTACGCACCCTATATACGCGCCCTATAAAATTATGTAGCAGAGACGCGTGCAGGGCGCGCACTTAAAAAGTCTGTATATTATAGACATCGATCAAGTTCAGTCGCTCCAGCACTCCCCTTAATTTTATAATAAAAATTTTGTAATCTATAAAGCTAGTTTGAAAATTTTGATTGCACTAATTTGTGGTAATTGCCGTCGCTCCAGCATCCCTTAACTTTAAACTCTTTAAAAACTACTACTAATTAAATAAATAAAACTAATAAATAAATAAAACCTTAATATTTTGAAGGATTTTTATCTCGAAATGATTCCAGTTCAAGGAGAACAAAAAAATCAATAATGTTAATAATGTCATATTGATAGATTATTGATCGAATTTATATCATTTTTTGTCATGATTCAGTTAATATGATGCTATTTTGATTTTCTCGTTCTCTTGACTGGGGGATTATTTCAAGATAACAATCCTAATTCCAAAATATTGAAGTTATTGCTAATTTTTAAATGAGAAAGGTTTAAAGTTAATTAATTATTGAGATGCTGAAACAATGGCAATTACCATAAATTATAGTGTGACCAAAATTGTCGAACTTTATGAATTGCAAAATTTTGTTTTGAAGGTATTTATTATTAATAGTTATCATGGTAAATCTGGGATGTATAATATCATATATGTTGTATAACAAAATTGATGTCCGCCAATGTTCCAATATTGCTCTTCGATTAAGTTCAACGCGCTATGGAATTTCAATTTCGAGTCTATAATTTAGTGGTGCGCCTGCATGCAAAATTCTATTTTTCAATGCGAGATTATCTTACCGATAGACGAGACGTATCTCATCGATCTATATTTTATTTTATACAGGTTGACGTACCATTAACTATTATCAGCGATAACTTGTCACAATTGGATCCATAATTTCCTTAATGGTTGCATTATGTGGTGTAATATATATTCACGCATGTCACACACAGGATGAATGCGGGCAAAAACGGGAATCGTTAAGTGTACTGGAATATAATGCGAGCGATTATAGTACCTCTTTGTCAGGCGTTTTCCGCCATTCTTTCTTCTTTTTCCATACAATTAATGCTTACCGCAATAATGATAATGAAAGTGTCGAGTTAACGTTTCTTCATTTTTGTCCTT